CTCCTCGCATCCGTAAGGGACACACTCAAGAAGCAGAATCAGGTTCGGAGGAAGCCGGAGCCGGACCCAGCTGGGCCGGCGACATGGAACCGCTGTACCAGCAAACGCACAAGCAGGTCCACCAGATCCAGTCTCACATGGGACGCCGGGAGACGGCAGACAAGCAGTGTGTGCACTTAATAGAAAACAAAATCCAAGCAAGCATACCAGATATTCAGCCAGCAAGAACGCCTGGAGATTTTGTCCAGCAAGGAGCCGCCCAACAAAAGACAGAATGCCAAACCTCATGTTGACCAGTTAAAGTATGATGTCCAGCACTTACAGACTGCTCTCAGAAACTTCCAGCATCGGCGATACACGAGGGAGCAGCAGGAGAGACAGCGAGAGGAGCTTCTGACTCGCACCTTCACCCCCAACGTGGGATGCGGCGCCCCCTGTGAGGCTGCGACGGCCCCTACGAGGCTGCGCCGGCCCCTGCGAGGCTGAGACGGCCCCTGCGAGGCTGCGAAGGCCTCTGGGAAGCCGGCGGAACCCCACGAGCCGCCCAAATGGCTTCGTCGATGGCCCACGAACCAGCGCGCAGCCCCAAGCACAACTATCACCCGAAGGGCGAGAGGGGCGAGAGCAGCTGTAGTGTTGCTTTCTCCTCACTTTTGGTAGCGAAATCCTCATTTTAAACATAAGAGGACACATTATTTTAAAAAGCCGTTACATGTCTCCATACCCTTTCTGAGTAGAGCGTGAACAAGTCGTGAGAGACTTTCCGAACACAGGGACACGTCGCGGATGGAAATAGCTACATTTTCCATGTGTATGACCTTTGACCCGGCAACAAAAAGCATACACCTATGGATGAGGACAGTGAGTGGGTAAGGGCAGAGGGTGGGGTGGGAACTGGGTGGAGGGGAGCTATGGGGGGGAAAAGGGGAACAACTGTAATAATCTGAACAATAAAGATTTAAAAAAAGAAACATCAATGATGAGAAGACTAATTAATCAGCTGCCTCCTGCATGCTCCACACTGGGGATCGAGCCCATGACCCAGGCATGTGCCCTTGACTAGAATTGAACCCAGGACCCTTCAGTCCGCAGGCCAATGTTCTACCCACTGAGCCAAACCAGCTAGCGCTTGTTTTGTTTTAATATGGGTTCAGAAACCTTTGTTGCCATCTAGTTGTCCATCATATCAATCCATTAACCCAGAATTCCAGCTCCCTAATAGTGTTCCAACCTACTTTAGCCATGGAATCTTCCATTATTCTTTGAAACATTCAACTATTCTCTGTTTGCTGTCATCTTGTGCTTTCAGGTCATTGCTTTCTCAATTAATCCTAAATGAGTTGGTTTCCGGTTTGCCTACTTCAAGGATCAACTCAATGTACTTTTCCAGGAAGTATTTCTCCATTACAAAGTGATACCCCTCCTCTGAGGTCACCCAATCATATTGAGACAGGCCAGTAAGCCAGGACAAATGGAATAGGGAAATCGAGACAGATAGCTGAATAAACTAGCAGAACAATTTACAGCAGATCCATAAGAATAACATCTAGGCCTCAGTTGCATTTCAGCTCCAGACCCAAAAAAGCAGCAAAACCAGGTGGGCGACACCAGGACCAGCTGTGATGCCCTGACATTGACCAATCAGTGAAGACCACAGCTCTGGAGGAGCACACCTAGAAAATTAATATTCTGCTGAAACCCTCCCCTGAGATCTCTCCTAAGATTCCAGTGGTCACCTTTGAGAAAGAGATAAAGCCTCTAGGGGAGGCCAGGGGAAGGTCAAGGGGGGAAAAAAAGAGACAAATGTACTACTCTTTGTAACATTTTAAGCAATAATAATTTTTTTAAAAAGGTAAAAAAAAAAAGAGAGAGAGATAAAGCCTCAACACAAAGGACCGAGCTGGACAGGTGTGGTTCAGTGGTTAAGCCTCAACCTATGAATTAGGAGGTCTCGGTTCAACTCCCGGTTAAGTCAGGACATGCCCCAGTTTCAGGCTTAATCCTGAGAGGGGAGTTTGGCAGCTGATCAATGATTCTCTCTCAACTGTGGCTCGCGAGCCGCAGTTTGCCGACCACTGGGTTAGAACATTGACTCCATATGCCAAGGTTATATGTTCAACCCTGTTCAGGGCACATATAAGAATCAACCAATGAATGCATAAATAAGTAGAATAACAGATCAATGTTTTTCTTTTCCTTCCTCTCTCTAAAAATCAATAAATTTTTTTAATTCTTGCATTTTGATTTCTATTTTTAGAAATCGTCTGTAATGGATACATTTTATATGCTGCTTCAGATTTCCTTGGCCTTGTCCCTAGGTCTGCCTGCGGGACATTCTTGAAATCTCTGTCTCCTCCTGCCACTTTTGAACTCCTGTGAAACACTGCACTGAACAATGCAGGCTCTGACTTGCTTGTGGCTGCTGGGAGGGCTTAGATGATGCATCCTGGAAGTATGGGGTGTCACTCCCATGGAGCAAACTTTGGCCAATTGAAAACATAGAAATTTTCTTTTTTCCAAGGCATGGTTCCTTCAAACGGTGTGTTTGGAGAAGGACCAGATTGAGCGGATATATTTGCCAAGCAACCTGCTGTATCTCTTGTGGCTCATTTTCAAGGAGGGGCCAGCAAGGTAACATATCACCTTGTATTACTTACCTTTCTCTACCTAGCATCCTTCCAGAGTGTTACTGGATTCTCACTGTCCTGAATTTGTACCTCCCAAAAAAGCATCAGCATTTAACATTTACCTGGAAGACAGGACCCACATTTTTTGTTGTTGTTAATCCTCACCCAAGGATATTTTTCCATTGATTTTTATAGAGAATGGAAGAGAGAGGGAAAGACAGAGAAAATCATTGATGTGAGGGAAACACATCGATTGGTTGCAAACCCTGACCAGGGCCCAGGCTGGGTAGGAGTTTGCAACCAAGGTATGTGCTCTTGACCAGAATTGAACCTGGGACCCTTTGGTCCGGAGGCCGACACTCTATCCACTGAGCCAAACCGGCTAGGGCAGGACCCACATTTTTAAATGTTTTTGTTGCAGCACCTAGCACATGGCATTTGGTGTTCAATAAATATCATAGATATATGGTCAATGTGTGTGAGTTCCCTTTCTGGTATAAATAACTGTAATACTGTATTAGAGAGAAAATGTACATCAATATACAATATAAGGTATTTTTATTGTTTTGTCTTTTTTTTTTTTTTTAACAACCAACCAACTCATTAGCAAAAAGCAGTTTAACTCAAATACTGAGACCAAAGTCTAACACTACCTACCAAAACTATCCCACCCACCCTCAGCCACCAATGAGGAAGGAAGAAATAATTGCTTAAACACACACACACACACACAAAATAAGCTTTGTATTTCTTACAAGGATAACAACAGTCCAACTCCTGAGATAGTACTTAGAAGGACAAAAGGTGGAGTTGAAGGCAATGTCTAGGGATTAGTATCCCACAAACAGTCGTGAAAAACCCAAAGTACCACAAACACACTAAACTTGTCTATGATTAGAGAACAAGATATTGCTACTGCTTTTTGTCTTTTGAAATATATAATATTTTGTAGGTTCTGCCCTTCAATGTGAAAGCAGGACATTAAAAAAAGTTAAAAATAAACTGAAATTGATACCCAAATTTTCGGGACCATATATCTTAACTGTGAAATAAACAGATCTATACCTCTCCTTCCTATAGTCAAACCACCTCACAAAAACAAGAAAACAAAAACAACCTAAACATGATTAATTTTGAAAGTATTAAAACTTTTAGAGGAAAGTGAAGGAAAGAAAGGAGGAAAAACAAGAACAAGGAGTGGGAAAAGCTTCAAAACAAAGGGGTGGGGGATGGGGAAATCAATGGGCCTCTCTTTTATTTGGCGACAAGCAAGTGCAAGAAAGTTCATTTGTAATTTGTTCAGTTGTCTGTCTTTTGCGCATCTGCGTTCTGGCCAGAAGGAACTTTGAGGTTTTTTTGCAGCACATGAGCATCTGCAGGCTCTATTCTCTTATAGTAGTTCTTCTTGGTCTCAATAATTTCAAAGCCAAACTTCCTGTAGAAGTCAATTGCTGATTCGTTGCTGATCTGGACATGCAGATAGATGTTGTCAAAAGTGCCATCTTTTTCACAGATGTTTAAGACATGATTTAACATTTTAGTTCCTATTCCTAGCCTTCGGTATGGTGCCAGACATCCTAGTGTCATGATGTAAAGTCTCTTCTGATTCTGTGAATGATCCACTCTACAGCATACCGCACCGACTGCAATATCATTGAAATAGGCTGCCATGGAAAACATAAAGATATAACTTTCAACAGACAGAATAACACATTTTATTATGATAAGCGAAATAAGGCAGTTAGAGAAAGGTTAAGTATCACATGATCTCACTCATATGTGGAATCTAATAAA